AAAAAAAAAAAAAAAAAAACTAAATAGAAGAAAAAAAAGAAACAAACAGGCGGAATCGGAAGTGGGCTGAACGAACAAATAAAACGGCACGCACACGGCGACAGCCACAAACAGGAAGGCAAGACAGTCACAGTCACAGTCACAGTCAGACTCACAGTCACGGTCACAGTTAGTTAAGCGATTTCAGAGAAACATGTATGCGGCACTAATGGACATGAGCCAGATGCTGGCTGCAAGCCTGGCCTACGCGCCAGCGGAGTCAAGCTCCGCTGCAGCTGCTGCCGGGGTCAATCTTAGCCAGCTCAGCAACTCCAGTCAGCTGGATGGATCGTCCGTGGTAACGGTAGCCACAGCAGCGACAGTGGCCCAGCATAATGCCAGCATCGAGGAGTCCTCGTATGTGAAGGTATTGGATCGCCCGGAGACCTATATTGTCACCGTGCTCTACACGCTCATCTTCATCGTGGGCGTGCTGGGCAATGGCACTTTGGTCATCATATTCTTTCGCCATCGCTCCATGCGCAACATACCCAACACGTAAGTGCCCCGCGGCGTCCTTCCCCGTTACCCAACTCCCAAGTCATTCATATGCCACATACATATGCGTACAATCACCCGCCATAAATACGGCCCAAATGAGCGCTGCGTGCGGCGTGCTGCTCCAGAAATAGCCCCAAAGAATTGCCACTCAACATTCATGATGCTGAATTATGGCAGCATCTCTGATTTTATTGCCTCTTGTCTGCTATGCCGTTCAGATCTTGTGCCTCGGTTTGGCTGCGGACAGAACAGCTGTCGTCGCAATCTTGACCAAATTAAAAGTCCGTCGGAAATTGTTCCAACTTTTTAGCCAAACAGCAGGCGCGGCCTGTGGTCAGGAATACTAAGCAGGACTTTCAAATTAAATGCAGGTTTCGTGGGCCACAACAGACTGTAAATCAAAAGTTTAATATCTCAAGCTTAGTTTAATAATGAATATCGTAATTAAAGCTTGAGCAAAACATGAAGAGTATTTGAAAATCGATATTTATCGATCAAGCAATAATTATAATATTTATTGCAATAATTATTATATATTCTATTCACACAAAGCTTTTTATATCCATGCGATATATATTTTGTATATTAATATATTCATATATTCATATAATAAGTTTGCAAACAGCCGCGTATGTAATTTGTATACCCTGAACCCATTGAAAATGGGAAATCAGGGTATAATGGTTTTGTAAAAAAGTATGTAACGGGCGAAGGAATCATCGCAGACCCCATTAAGTATATATATTCTTGATCAGCAAGATGAGCTGAATCGATATAGCCCTGTCAGTCTGCCCCTACGTCCGTCTGTCCGTCCGTCCGTCCATATGAGTGCGTCGATCTCAGAAAATATAGGAGCTAAAGAGCTGAAATTTGGCATGCATACTCGCCGAGCAGTCCAGCAGTCGAGCAGTCTCGACTGGAGCCTTCTTACTTGTTTTGCTTTACATTAGATAAAGGCAACAATATAATATTATTATATTACGTGGCACAGTCCAGTCTGTCTTTTCCGTTTTATCTTCAGTTCAGTCTTTGTACTATCCACTACACTGGGCAATGGCTCGCTGATAATATTCCCATATTTACAGCATTCTTTACTTTTTTCGCAGCTGGCTTCACTCTTGCTATGCATTAGAGCTTTCGATTCCAGCTGTCACAATGCAATGCTAGGCGAACAGTTCTGTTCGTGTTTAACACCTTATATCCGCTTAAATGAATGAGGGTATCCTGGTTTTATAAAAGCATAGATGTTGAAATGTTATCACACTCTGTAAATATGAAAATACTTTACAATACTACCAGCAGTGAATTGGTGTATCCGTCGAGTACGGCTGTCTATGCTGCTGCTTGCTAGAGCGGGCCCATGCAAATGTTTATTAATTTGTATAACTTGTCGGAAACTCAAGAGCTGTAACAACGATGTAGCGCCATGTGTTCTGGCTGTGTTTGGGGCTTCGTTTGGACGAACAATTTAAATAAATTCAAATGGCAATTCAATCAAAAGTTTTCCTGCCAGCCCAGTCGGTGCTACAGCCGGTGCCACGGCCGCGAGCTGGAGAGGGGGAAAGGGCTACGACTAAGAAACACTTGCATAACAAGCATATTATAAATTGTCGTCACGCCTCGACTGGCAATAAATGTGTCTGCCCTGCAATTTCCATTGAGCAACTATTTTATCGTTATACAAATTGAGAATAGCCGAAGAAAATATGAAAACGAAAATATGCATTGAAATATGCCAGAAACTGCATTCCTGTCCAAGCTGTCCAGGTTGTTCTGGGTATTCTGGATGTTCACGCTGTCCAGGTGTTCAATTGGACTATTGAGTGCTGATTGTAGTCATGGAGAGAAGAAGGCGAGTTCATGGACATGCCTGCCGCTATCGGGAGCCAATCAGTAGACCAAGCGGAGCGTTGTAGCTCCTATTATGGCAAAAGTTTTGGCGTGATTTGCCATTCTTTGTCCGGTTCGTCTAGACAAGCATCAATTGACAACAATCAGAACTTACAATTTGTGGCCGATAATGAAGTGGCGTTTGCGGCGCATTGCTTTTAGTCTGCCACCTAGCCGAGGCTCACTCAGGTCAATGACAAAGCCATTTTCTGAAAAAGCCCTCATTTGCCTTTTAGCTCAAATGAAGACATGTGTTGTTTCGTTTTTTGCATTAGGGGACCAACGAAATTAAATTCTGTTTCAATTGGCAATGGACCGACAATACTTGAGGCTGGAGGGCTTTTTAAACGAACCCATGTCAAGGAATCTACTCGAGAATGGTCAAAAAGACGACACAAAAGAAATATATTTGGAGCAAGTGGCGTTTCACTCAAGTGTTTTACAAGTGGCTGCGCAACGGTTCACACAAATGGAACGAGCCCCGTTACCTTTCCTCCGACTCCGACTCCGATGCCGATTCCGATTCCGATAACAAAGCGAATTCTATTCCAAGTTTCAATCCCTGTGCAACCATGCAGCAAATTTGACACGTTTAACTGTGCGTGAGCTGAACAAGTTTCCCAATCGCTGGTTCCCTCTAACGCAAGCTTGAGCGTAGACCATAGCTGGTCAGAAAAGTATTTGCATAGCAAATACCCTGTTGATCTTGGAAAGTAAATTAGTGAAAAAGGAAAAATTTGAGAATCGGATACACCGTTACATACATCATTGTATACTGGAGAATGGTAATCCAGAAATCAATAACAAGGATTCAATCCTAAACTTAATATTGATTTGTGGAACAAAGATAGATATACAGATATATAGTTAGATTAGGGTTATTATTAAATCAGCTTTTCCAAATTCAAGCATATCATCTAACTATATATCCTTATGACTATGTGAGTTGCTCAGAACTTTGATTTACTAGATTCTCTATTAAGACATTGTTTCAGTTTATAGCTAAACTTAATGGACAATATCTCCTTACAGCTACATCCTCTCCCTGGCTTTGGCCGACTTACTGGTCATCCTGGTCTGCGTCCCTGTGGCCACGATTGTCTACACACAGGAGAGCTGGCCCTTCGAGCGCAACATGTGTCGCATTAGCGAGTTCTTCAAGGACATTTCGATTGGAGTCTCCGTCTTCACGCTGACCGCGCTCTCTGGCGAACGCTACTGCGCCATTGTCAATCCGCTACGCAAGTTGCAGGTGAGCAGAGCATACCGTTAGTTATTTGGTGGGCAAAAGTACCTGCATGTCTCCTTATTCGCAGACAAAGCCGCTGACTGTCTTCACGGCCGTCATTATCTGGGTGTTTGCCATTATGCTGGGCATGCCCTCGTTCGTTGTCTCGGACATCCAGAGCTACAACATAACCACGCCCAACGGCAACATAACCATTGGAGTCTGCTCTCCATTTCGATCCAAGATTTATGCAAAGTGAGTTTTGCCGCTAGCCCAACATTAATCAGTTAAAGATATACATATATATATAAATATAAATATTTATATTCGTATTTGTTCGCTTCAGTTGGTTTTATTTAGTTTTAAGTGGGTGTCCAAGCGAAGCTCTGTCTCTTTGCTTCTCTCTTTCTATGAGCTGAAAAGGGCAAGTCCAGTCAAGTAGAAGCCATTCAAGTAACTGACAGCTCCTGCCTTTTTTTTAACACTTGGAAAATTTCCAATCAAATCAAGTCAAACAGCAACAGCAACAACAACTCAACCAAACATTAAATTTAATCTTCCATCATAATTTAGACAAATTCTTTATTTGCTGAGTACTTAACTGTGTTCGGATAACCATTGATTTTTCATTTAAAAATTCAGTTGTGTTTAGCTTTACTAGAAATAAAATTATATTTGTATAAGAATAAATCGATATCACTTTAACGCGCAGCTGGACACTTTTAAGGCAGTTCAAGTCAACAGGATATCCCTAGTAACTCCGCTCTCTGTGCCTTATAAGGCTATAGCCCTCTGGTAAGCTGTTGCTGCTTAGCTCAACGGCGTCTACCCCAGGCTCATTCTGCTTCCATAGGCTGCTCTTCACTCGCCTCGCTGATAAACTGCTTCAATTTAATGCCACTCGTCACTTTTAATACTTCTCCAACAGCTGCCCGGCCACAGCCTGTGCAGGACCTCAGCGTTGTGGCGCCTGCTGCTCGCCTGTTGCCACAACTTGGAAATCCTTTCATGCTGGACAACAGCAGCTGTTGCCACATAGTCTCCCAACGACTCTCTCTCTCTTTCTCTCTGTTTGTGCCTCTGCTGCTATTCACAGAGTCAGCCAATTGGTTGCTAATTTTTCATCCGATTCGTAAAAACCCCTTTAGGACTCGGCCGCTCATGTTTAAAAAACCCACAAAATTGCTGAGAAGGATAAAATTAAATGTTGGTTGTGTTTTATGCGATTAATTTATTCGGTCGTTAGTTCAATGTCACGCCACACTATAATTTAATGGATGTCTTCAGCCTGCAGTTCCTTTTTACTGTCTCACAAATCGGTTAAGATGTCCTAGACACGCAGCTCCGTAGCCGTAAGCGCTTACTCAATTGCTTCTAATTTATTTGGCAATCATCTAGCAGTCACAAATTAAATTCACATCCATCAATTGAAACTTGTCTGCAACATTGCGAAGCTCAGCAGACAGCCGTTCCTTCTATTTTACAGAGCTGCAATATTTTCGCAATTTAATTTCATCAAATTCATCAAATTTAATCAAAACATGAAAATAATGCATAAACATTTAGAACCAAACCCCTCATGAAAACTGGACCTATCTGTATTTATTTGGGTATATCACATTCATATAAAAATATCTTTGGCAACTCAATCTAACTTTAAACGTGGAGAATCAGGTCCGTGCTCAGATACATCATCAATATAATGGTAAACCATTCACACTTGGCTAATGGGCTTATCACATTTCGAATGAAATGACAGCGACTTGAATTTTATATTACTGTTAATTTAGCTGGAATTTAACTGGCTGAAATTATAAATTCAATTATTAATAGAAACGACAGAAATCAAAATTTCGGTTTTAATTTGAATTTATGTATTTTACTTTTTAAGCGTTAGAAGGGATTTCGCATTGGAACTCAATCCGCTTTAATCCGATTATTTGCATACATACGCATTATATTTGCAATAACTAAATAAAACAAGTAAGAAAGCTATAGTCGAGACTGCTCGACTACGAGATCCCCTGAACCCTTGGAGCAATAGATATTTCAATAATTTTTCGCGTCTTTCAGCTTACACAAGAAACACGCATACACACACACACAGGCATACATACACACACACGCATACACAGACACAAACGCATACACACACATACATACACACACATACACAAACACATACACACACAAGCACCCACGCATAAACACGCATGGGCTGCAGTGTGCGCTTACTATGAGAATTTAATTGCTTAATAACTTTTTTTGTGGACTTACGATCTTCATGAAACTTTCAGATTATGATTATAACATGAATNGACGGACAGACGGACAGACGGACAGACAGACGGACAGGGCCAAATCAACTCAGCTCGTCGCCCTGATCAAGAATATATATACTTTGTGGGGTCTGCCACGCCTCCTTCTGCCTGTTACATACATTTCAACAAAACCATTATACCCTGATTTCCCATTGAAAATGGGTTCAGGGTATAAAAATAAGTTCAATTCATTTTGAGCGTTTTTTATCGATTGACAAATCAAATATCATTTGCTACCTAAAAAGAAATTCATTAATATTGAGATAATCCGATTGCATATACATTTGTATACCCCGAGTCCATTCAAAAGGGCTTTTTATTATATATTGCTTTTGTGAATTTTTATGTAACAAGGAGTAAAGGGAGAGTGTACGTAATATTACTTCTTCACAGAGTTTAGGGTAACTACTAAAACAGAAGTTTAAGTTTAAGCAAGCTCATGCAATCGACTCGAACTAAGACCCCACAGTATTTATAAATGAACCTGTTTAAAATGAACCAGATCCATGTCTAATAGTTTTCGTTGAGCAAAGTTGAAGTCAACTCCAATAGATGTCCACTTGCGGAGACCAAAGTAGTTCACAGGCTGCTTAAAGGCTGTCGTTGATTAATTAACGGCCAGTCCAGTACTGGCTGGGGATTGTCATAGCGCACCGTTAATTCACCCCATCTGGTTTAAGTGGAGCACTTTAAGTGACTGTAACTGTTATATGCCTGCTAAGCCGCTTTACTCTTTGCAGATACATGGTGGTGGCCAAGGCGTCCATCTACTATTTGGTGCCACTGTCCATCATCGGCGTGCTATACATCATGATGGCCAAGCGACTCCACATCAGCGCCCGCGACATGCCCGGCGAGCAGCTGAGCATCCAGAGCCGCAGTCAGGCGCGGGCTCGCCGCCATGTCGCCCGCATGGTGGTGGCCTTTGTGGTCGGTGAGTAGCAATTGGTCGATTGGGCCTGAGTAGCGGCTCTCTAATTGCCCTGGCAGTGTTCTTCATTTGCTTCTTTCCATATCACGTATTCGAGCTGTGGTACCACTTCTACCCGACGGCCGAGGACGACTTCGACGACTTCTGGAATGTGGTGCGCATCGTGGGATTTTGCACCAGGTAAGCGGATCAGCTACTGAAACTGCGGCTCTTTTATCTTCGGTTTGTTTTTGCTCTTGGTAAATAGTTTGAAGTTGTGGGGCTTGAACCCCGCGTTCCATTCGTTCCATATGCGAACGTTACTGTCCTTCAACTTGTTCCCACAGTGCCCCAGGCGTGCAGGCGTCTTCTTCTTTTGGCATTATTTTTAATTGAAAGAGATAATCCCTGTAAAAACTTACTTTCCTCCCTTGCACACACGTCTTCCTCTCTCTTCCCTCCCAGCTAACTAACTCTTTACCACACTCGCATCCACGCATCAAGCAGCAGTAAATTTTCCTTCGTTGACAGTCGCCCCATTCCCCGCCCTGCGACGGCCCCTTTTGGCGCTGGGGGCGTCACTTAGCGCAGTAAAGTGCACAAAATAATGTGTCAGCATTTCGGGCAACTTAATTTCTGATGTCGCAGACTGTCAGTTCCACTGAGAGTAATTTGCATTTCAATGCCGAAAGGGCTGTCCAAGAAAAGAAAAATAAATGCATCTTGAATAAAATATTCCACAAAAAGGTTGCAGCGATGCCAATTACTTGCCTTGTTTTCTGCTACTCCAGTTAAGTGTAAAAGTACTACACTTAAGTGTTTTCCGAACTGCTTAAAACTCTCGAGTTTCATCAATAACTGAACACTCTGCCAAAGGTCCAAATTAATTGCATTTGTTACTTTAAATTCAGAAGTAATACTAGAGAAATAGAGTGTCAGTGCTCGCCCAGACCGATGCTTCTGGATTGTCATTCAAAGAGACAAACTCAAATCAGCTTTATTTAGGATTAAAGTGCACTTTTGAACTAACCAATTTGATTGTTTACAAATTAAATAGTTTCGATTTGAAGCTCAACTAAGAGATATAATATCAATCAATGTAGAAGCTATTCATCCGCTATCAAAATCTTCTTCGTTTCAAAATCCAATTGTCAATTGCTGAAAAATGAACATTTTGACATGTTTAATGGTTTTGTTGAAATGTATGTAACAGGCAGAAGGAGGCGTGGCAGACCCCACAAAGTATATATATTCTTGATCAGAGCGACGAGCTGAGTTGATTTAGCCCTGACCGTCTGTCTGTCTGTCCGTCCGTCTGTCCGTATGTTTGAACGCGTCGATTTCAGAGGATACAAGAGCTCAATTTTTTTGTAAAATGTCCATGAATAACACGCGGATATCGAGCTTTGCTTTAAAAATCGATAACTATTACTAAGTATATTTCCTACACTTTTAAAGCTAAAGTCTCCATATTTTTAATGTAGATTTATATGCACTTTATACAATTTCGGTTTTTGTTAAAATTTATCCCCCAACCCTATATCCAACCCTCACCCACATATTTCTAGAGACTTGTGCTTTGGCAAATGCATGTATATATGTTATAATCATAGTCTAAAAGTTTCATGAAGAACGTATTTAACAATAAAGTTATCATAGTAAGCGCACAATGCAGTCCATGCGTGTTTATGCGTGGGTGCTTGTGTGCGTGTGGGTGAGTGTGTGTACGCGTGTGTACGTTTGTGTGTGTCTTGTGTACACAGAAAGCCACGAAAAATAATTAAAATAACTATTGCTCGAAGGGTTCAGGGGATCTCGTAGTCGAGCAGTCTCGACTATGTAGAGCTTTCTTGTTTCTAAATGATATACAATATTTGACTTACACTAGAATGATACTTGTATTCGGAATCATTGCCTTTATAATATATTGTACTATCGATTTTCATAAAGGACTTGACTGCGTTGCAAAATGTACAATTTAAAAACCGCTAGTGGCTTCACTCAATATCAATTGATAGTTGCTTTATCGATCAATTAATTATTGAAAAAAGTTGCAAAAAATATTTCCAAACATTTTATATTCAATTAATATTTAGAGCACTAACACAATTTGCAAAATATATTGCAATCAAACTAAACGAACCAAGCTTGACTACTTCAAAAATACTGAATTTCTTATTCAAGCTCTAATGACTTGACATTTATATTTTGCATGTGATTTCAATAGTATACAAAAATATTTAGTACTACAAGTATTATATGTCATATATGGCATATTACTTTCCAGTACAATAGCGGATACGCTCTGTTTTAAAAGTTGTTTCAGCTATATCAACATAGAAACAAAGCGAATTTAACAGATTCAGCTTATAGTTTTCGAAGTTGTATTCAAAGCCTGTTAATAAGTTGATCTAGTCACTTGGGAGGTGGGGACTTGGAGCGTAGAGGTTGTAATTAAACTGTTGTAGATAAGGCAATTCCCCTCAGCACTTGCACTCGCACACTGGCCATAGACTGACTTTGCGCTTTGGTCTTTTCTAATTGCAGCTTCCTCAATTCGTGCGTTAATCCTGTGGCACTCTACTGTGTGTCCGGCGTGTTTCGGCAGCATTTCAACCGTTATCTGTGCTGCATTTGCGTCAAGCGGCAGCCCCATCTTCGCCAGCACTCGACCGCCACAGGCATCATGGACACCAGCGTCACCTCTATGCGTCGCTCCACCTATGTGGGTGGTGGCATCGCAGCTGGCGGGGCTAGAGAGGGTGGGCCGCGTGCCTCGGTACACATGAACAACAACCACGGCGTCAGCGGAGCTGCAGGCGGTCGTGGCGGCAGCTTCCATCGACAGGACTCGATGGCCTTGCAGCACGCAGGCAGCATCAACGGGCACTCGCACAATGCGAACGTGGGCGCTGGGGCTGGCATCGGCCGAGCCTCCATCATCAATGAGAAAAGGTGAGGCACACTGATTGTGGAGCTGCTGGAGGAGGGCTCCACTTCCCAACAGGCCGACGCGCAGCTCTAAGCACTTGGCCACTGATCTCACTCACACAATCGCTGTATGTGTGCGTGGCTCTGTGTGTGAGTGTGTCGCACCCGCACTGCAATTTATACACACTCTCGCTATGCTAATTGGCAGTAATTGTTGTGTTGAGCCCCAGCATCACTGAAATGGCAATTGGCGTGGGTATTAGCCTCGGCTATAAGCCTATGGGTGCTGTACATAGCCAGCTGGCCTTTGTCCTTAGCCACTGACCATCTGGGCACGTGTGTGTAGGCATTGCACTAATGTTGGTGAGCTACCCACAAAGGCCTGCTCAGGCTGAAAGCGAACCTGAGCTAAGAGCGGAAAAGTACTCGAATATTCCAATAGCCCTTGTGCTATCCCCCTCTTCAGCAAAGCTCCCCCTATGTGTATCCCCGTATTAATCATATGTAAATTCCATGGCAATTGTGAGGCTCAATTCGTTGTAAATACATATAATAATTATAATCGCAATACCCTCTGATTCGGCGTACTCTATGTGATGTGGCAAAGTCCTAGTAATTAAGAGGCATTCAATATTATAGAGCATATACATTGAAATTCGTATCTGGTTTGTGCAATAAATAGACATGTAGAATACACACACATACACAGAAATATGCAATTCCACTTAATGTAAGCCCACGTAGCTGCAAAATATATCAATAGCTATAATGAATAATTAAGTGTACAAAAGTTAATTGATAAATGTTTAGTTGTTGTTGCTTTCTGCTCTTGAATCTGATGTAATCACAGCAGTACTATATGACAGAGTTTTAGCTTTGCAGCAAATGCTAAAGAATCACCTCAGACTTAGATGTAAAAACACTTTTATTGATAAGCAAAGATTTCGCGAGGAGAGAGCAAAGTATGTTGTTATAATTCTGTTAAATATTCCAAACTCAATAAATATCTATGTAAACAGTTTGTACTCTATTTTTGGGCAAGCAAGCAGGTAAGATCCTCAGCATCACATCTGCTATATTATCCACTCACTAATCTTCATATTCCTACAGCACTCGAGGCAAGACGCAATATGTAAACTGTTCCACTTTTTGATCACTCCTATTTAAATTCATTATATTTTCACTTTTACATTTTCAGCTTCATCACGCGCTATGACGAGCGGACTCGCTACTAGATTCTAAATAACATCTGTTAGCTTCCATTGATGGGTGAATCAATATGAGGGAAGATGGTACTTTAGCCATAAATTATGGCGTTTCAAACGGTTTTTAGATTTAATGTGTCGCTTTAGATGTAAGTAAAGATATAATGATTACCGAAATGTATACGATGTGTCAAATCAGCACTGAATGGACTGCAAATAAAATGTGAAAAACAATTTTGGCATCTCGCAAAACTTAATAGCAAATTGAACCCGAATTGCAGCGAACCGTGTGCAAGTTTAGCCAGAGAAAGTAATTCTTAGAAAATAAATTGAATTTGTGATAAGCCAATTACAGCTAGCAGCTACCAGTTGCTAGACTAATCAAACGAGTTGCCAAGGGCTCACAGGTGCTCGAATTATTTAGAAATTAAACGCAACACGTTCAATTTGCATTCGCAAACACGAGAGCCCGAGAATAACAACAGAAAATCGGCAATTTCCAGGCACACAAAAGAAGAGTGGAAAATCGAAAAACATGGCAATTTATTACTAGCTGCCACTCACAAAGGATAGCTGGGAGCTCTTGCTCTTTGTTTCCCTTCTTGTTTTGACTAACAACTCGATGTATGTAAAGCTGTATATGTAAATTGTCTGAACATTGCATATACACGCCTACACACTCGACTGCGACTGCGACTGCGACTGCGACTGCGACTGCGATGGCACACCTTTGTGGGCAGGCCAAAGCTATTGGCATGCAATAAATGTTGGAGTCAAAGTGGCTAATCTCTAATGCAACCCCCAACAATCTGAACTGCTCACCGACCCCGTCCATTCAATGGTTTGGCAGGCCGGCTGACCCATCGGGCATTCACCAAATCAAGCAGAGCTCGGCCACTGGCTCTGGCAGCTGGCAGCTGGCTCTACAGATAAGGGACAGACAATGGACAAATTTTGTCATGTTTCAGGCCCGGGAAAGTGAATGCCATTTAACATTTTCCTACCTCGTTCAACTCCTGCTCGCTCCCTGCTCCCTGCTCCCTTCGCCTGCTGTGGCTTTTGGATAGGCATTGTGACCGCAGGTAATGCTTATGTTAATCGTAATTTGTGTTGCCTGCAGCAAGCCCCAAACTGGGTCAAAGCGCACCAGATTTATGTACACAGCCAACATGTAAATATGTGCTCATCTGCCCATAGACAGCTGCCGCCTCCTCTCTTACTGTGGTGTGGACACGAAAAACCGCTCTGACCACAAATATTGTTGGTGTTGATTGGCATTTGCTCCTCCTCCGCCCCTTCTGGCCGGCGCCCTGGCAGCTCCTCAGTTCCTTTGTCAGAAGTTTCGGGTGAAATGCTACTGCACAATTAGCTAATTTGTTGAGCAAGCTCTGTGGTTCTGTTACAGCTGAGCAGTTAACTTCCTGGTTTATAGAGCTGATATTGTGGTGTTGAAATATAATTACAATAAATAAACAGATTCTATTGCTGATATATACTCAATTACTTTATTGAAGGTGGCAGGTAGATTTTTCCCCATACAGAGGCCGAGAAGTGTGTCCTGAGGAGGATATAATCTCATATACTTGGCAGCTTATCGTTCCATCCAAATGTTGTACTTCATTTACGATCTTATGAAGCGGAAATAATCTTATAATCTGACAAGCGGCGCACACTATGGATAAACTCTTTTTAATAAAATATGTCTAGAAACGTATTCAATAATTGGGATTCAAGTTTTTGAATCCAATTGATTTTTCGCAGATAATCATAGCAGAGCTGCTAGTGTTTACTTTCCTTGTATTTTCGTAATTCCCTGTAAGCCCTATACTCATACAAGTCAGTTTGACCCCACGACAAGGTTTTAATGCCTGCCGAATCGATGATATCTAAAGTCCTTCGAGCATACAAACTTGGCATGTTTGCATCAACTGGAGCTGTGTATATAGTGAACCCAAATTTGTTGACCAAACTTGAGTCAAGTGTTGACTCTCCCCTGCATAAACAAGCAAACGCTTAACAGCTCACAGACGCCCCCGCTTCAGCGCCTGGCTTTGCCTCTGACCCTGCTTGTGGGCGACATTTCCCACATCAGCAAAGCACAATGTAATGGAAGCTTGACATACATATGCAAAGGAGTCCTGCAAAATGGCAATCGAGTGTGACAGAAATTTACAGGATAATGTCCAGCGTATCCCGGTATATTGTATGGGAACAGGGCTTAAAATGTTGTACAACTATTTCAATCATGATAAAGCACAAATATCTGGATCCCAATTTATAGAGAATCGGAAGAAATGCAAATATATTTAATTTGAGAAGAGACCGAATTTGAACTTACTCTGAAATAGTTGTAATTGGATTTCTTTATGTCGAGTTTCAATTGAAGATTTCAGAATTTATATTGATAATGCCTCATTGACTTAATCAAATGATTATGGTGATTGTAATGGTCTGCAAATGAAATCTCACTTTGGAATGTATTGTATTTTGCAATATATAATTGCCTGCCGTTTAGAGGAGATGCTACAGTGTGAGACAAATGAAGCTTCACAGTCAAGGCTTAGGGGTATGTAGGGTTTCCCCCAGGCGGCCACACATTCAAAATGCGTGGCTATCAGATTATCAAGCGCTGGAAATCGGGGCAAATGGATGCCAGCCGAGGGAGAGCTTTCAAGTGGCCCGAAGTGATTTATCACGCTGCAAGGGAGCTGCTCGCAGCTGGCAGGAGACTCTAATGCGCCAAGGCAGGGCCGCCAGGATAGGAAGAGCTATAACTAACATTTAGTGCTGCATAAGACGACGACAATCTTGGCCGCTAAGCGGACCGGTTATCCTTTTCGGTCCGGAGTGGGGGCCAGAGTGGAGGCCGTAGCATTCCTAATTCCTCATCTGCGCGGTCAAACGAAAATGAGTTCCAGCTGAAGCGACGGACAGATCCTTATCCTGTTGCCATTTGCTACATGTTTGCTTGCCACGCAACCCAGAGGAGATTCCATTTGCGTCTTGTTTATTTTAGCCCTGGCTTAGCTAGCCATCCACCCCCAATCCCCACATACCCTCACGAGCACTGCGATGCCTCGATGCTATTGTGCTCCGTATTCTTTTGGTCGCTTTGATTATGTTTTCGCTTTGCTGTGCGTCTGCTTTGCTAATTGGCGCTACTCGTAAGCTGAGACCCATTGACAGCTCAGAGGCACTTACCCTGCCACTGGGCGTGGCATGTCGGTGGCACGCGGCCATTGGGCTCGTTGCACGCACGTGTTGCGATACGGCCAAGTAAGAGTAGAGCCAAAAAAGAGACGTAATTCTGGCCTGTTTATGTCTATGGCCGCAGTTTGTTTCCGGCTTTATGACGGCTTAGCTTGTTGATGATTGAAATTGGTTTTATTTTAGTTTCTGTTTGTCTGGTTGGGACTTCTATGGCATTGACATTTATGAAAACATCTCGCAGTTGACATGGCTGATATACGTTTATTGTGAGCCTGATTTGATCCAGTAAATTAAATTGAAATGCATTTCCATTTTGTTAAGGAATCGCTTTCCCTTTGTGCTCTTGGGTTAATGGCACAAGTATCGTAAGAACATTTATTAGCTGAGAAAACAATTTCGTCAACTGTTCAGTCGTTGTTAAGCTTAAGGCTCCATAACTTTAGAATATATGTAACGCTTGAGGACTCGACTCGGATAGACGGACGGAGAAAACAAAATACCTTTTCTCATCACAATCATTCGGTTGTAAAAACGTTTAATGTTTAAGTTTGATTAAGCAGGTTACTGTCAATTGGCTCTTCATAGAAATATCGTTCCAATTCCTAGAAGAAATTTGGCAACACAATATACGATTGCATATTTATCAATGAAAAGTTGTCAATCATTTAATAAAATATAGTATATAGTATATACCAATTATAGGAAATATGTTATGCTCTGTTCCCATAGGTAAAGGAGAGTGAAATTATAACGTATCGGTACAGGAAAAAAATTGTGTCTGCCATCTGTATAAAAATCTGAATAGGAATTACTAAGCCGGCGGAAAGCATTGGAATCAATTGATATAAAAGAAATCTATTTTCCGTGTAGTTAGGAAGGTCAGTTATCTTATCGTTTTCATGTGCTTTTCGATTATATTGTATTTAGAGTGGATGTCGCCATTTGCATGACATGATACATTTTATTGTTGCCCAACAACAAATTAGTACGAGAAATGCGCGAACCCATGGCTAAATCACAAAAGGGAAACGTTTTGAATAATATGTACTTAACGATCAAGCTTCAATGACTCTACAAGCAATACATGCATATGATGAAGAATATGATAAAGGCTCTTATTTGTTCAATGCATCGTGTTTTTATGAGTAAATATAGTAGGAAGGCATTTACATTTGCTCATCAACACCTCGATTCCAAAT